TGCTTGTTAAAGAAATTAACAGTATCTATCACAAATTTGCAGAGAATTATAGGAATTTAATTTTGATAGAATGACTTCTGTATAAAGACTTAATACCAATGACAAATAAATTAGTGTACTATATTACACTCTTTAACCATGATTAGATTAAACATTTACTTTTAATTACTATTTAGACAGTAGATATTTAGAAAATTCAAAGGTGGCTCCCTTTCTTAAATGAAATCAGAAACCTTGCATTAGAAAGTGCATTATATTAAATAGGAGCAATATTATTTTAATACTCAAATACTTTAATTAAAATAAAATATATCTTTGTATTTATATGTCATCCCATCTCAGTAATTTCCATGGTGAGTGGCCCTGTATCAACCCACTCCTGCATAAGAAAGAGAAATATAAGTCAATATGGAGTTTTAGTAAAGCACAAACTCTTGTCAAAATGAAACCTTAAGGAGTAAGATATTTTTAATATGTGGTGGAAAGTCTTAATGGGCATTCTGATTCATTATATGCTAGTTTCTTGATTATAGAAGAATAGAATTCATATACAAGCATATACAAACTAAGAAAAACAATTTTAGTGATAAATAATTAAAAAACCCTTTCTTTGAGGAACCAGCACTGAAGTAATTTTGCTTTTCTTACACAAAATATTTATTTTCAGAGTCTTTAATTCTATATAACCATGGGTACACTGTGATACTTCAGGGCATACATGTAATGCATCAGATAAGATTAATTTGCCCCTGAGGCTTAGAACATTTCTTTCAATTAGCAACACCCAGTGCACTCCATTAGCTATTTTTAAATATCCAAAGAATGTCTTATGGTAAAGTTGCTACAGGACATTAGTACAACATTAGCTATCACACATTAACTAACCTCTCTTCACTCTTTTCCACACCAAAATAATATTTAGTAGAATATATCATACTGTGCATTCACTATTGTATCTGAATTTGTATATTTGTTAATATAATTTTGAGACCAAATTTAAAATTACTGCTGAACACATGAAAGGTCTATTTATATTTTAAAAGACAGTAGGTTCATTGATTTTATGTCATCGTTTTTGTTTAAAAAATAGCTGCCTCACAGGACAGTGGTGGCACATGCCTTCAATCCCAGCACTCAGGAGGCAGAGGCAGGCAGATCTTTGTGAGTTCGAGGTCAGCCTGTTATACAGAGTGAGTTCCAGGAAAGGCACAAAGCTACACAGAAAAACTCTATCTCAAAAAACAAACAAACAAACAAACAAAAAAAACTGCCTCCAAAAATAAAATAAAAAAAAATGTGACTAGTCACTTTGGAAATCAGTATGGTGGTTTCTCAAAAAATTGGAAATCATTCTCCCTCACGACTCAGCTATAATACTCTTGGGCATATACCCAAAAGATGTTCAATCATACCACAAAGGCATTTGCTCAACTATGTTTATATCAGCATTATTTGTAATAGCCAGAACCTGGAAACAACCTAGATGCCCCCTAACTGAAGAATGAATAAAGAAAATGTGGTACATTTACATAATGGAGTATTCAGCAATAAAAAAATGACATCATGAAGTTTGCAGGCAAATGGATAGAAGAAAAAAAAATCATCCTGAATGACATAGCCCAGACCCAGAAAGATGAACATGGTATATATTCATTCATAAGTGGATATTAGATGTAAAGCAAAGGATCACCAGGCTACAATCCAGGAGGACCCTAATAGGGACACACATGAATCACCCTGGGAGGGGAAATAGATAAGATCTCCTGGGCAAACTGGGGGCAGCAGTGGTATGTGGGGGTAGGGAAGGCAGGGGAGGGAATGCCAGATGAGAACTTAAGGGAACTGGATGGAGATGGAAGGAGATATCTTGATAGAGGAAGCCATTATGGGGTTAGGGAGAAACCTTTGCTAGGAAAATCCCCAGAAACAACAGTGGAGAGGGTGCCTGAACTGGCCTTCTCCTATAATCAAATTGATGAATACCCTAATTGTCATCATAGAACCTTCATCCAGTAACTAATGGAAACGGATGCAAAGATCTACAGCCAAGCACTGGGCAGAGCTCCTGAAGTCCAGTCAAAGAGAGGGAGGAAGGATTATATGAGCAATGGCGGTCAAGATTATCATGGGGAAACCCACAAAGACAACTGACCTGAGCTAGATGAAGCTCAGATACTCTGGACTGACAACGCGGACCCTGCATGGCACTGAACTAGACCTTCGGAATGTGGGTGACAATTGTGTGACTTGGTCTGTTTGTGGGGATCTTGGCAGTGGAACCAGGATTTATCCCTGGTGCATGAGCTGGCTTGTTGGAGGCCATTCCCTATGGTGGGACACCCTGCTTAGTCTCAGCCTTAATGAAGCGGAGAGGGGCTTGGTCCTGTCTCAAACTGATATGCCAGGTTTTGTTGACTCCCCATGGGAGGCCTTATCCTCTCTGAGGAGTGCATGTGGGGGGTGGGGATGGATTGGAGCGAGGTGGGGCGGTGCAAGAGGAAAGTAGAGAGGGGCAACTGTGATTGGTATGTAAAATGAAAAAAAATTTAAATAAAAAAATTTCAAAATAAAAAAAAAATGTGGCTGGTTGACTGATTTGACTCAACTTCAAGATATCTGTTTATCTCCGCAATATAAATCCTTCTATCTAATATTTCCTGCTGCTTGCACTCAAGAAAACTCTGGGGAACTGTGGGGTTGGTGGGTAAACGCTCCACAGAGGGGGTACCTAGTCTCATTATAAAGTGATATGCCATGTTTGGTTGATATCCCTGGGAGGCTTGCCCTTTTCTGAAGGGAAACTGATTGGATCTGTGTGAGGGCATATTCTAGGAGGAAGGGAGAGAGGAGAAACTGTGGTTGGGATGCAATATATGAGAGAAGAATAAATAAAAAAGAAAAATATTACTTATATGCCATGTGAGTATTTATTTGTATTGCCTTTCTACTTTTAATCCAAATCATCCCGTGTTTATCTAAAGCTTAGTGTTTTCTTATATTATTGTCCAGCAATCTGTCTCTGTGGGTAGCATGGTTCTGACTCCATCCAAATGAAGACTGAAGACTTTTCTAACTTGGCAGCAATCTTCTTCTCTCCGTAAGTCATCTTGGAATGATGCACAGACTCAATATGTTCTACAGATAACACCAGAGCAAATTCTGCAGAAATAAAACAAGACGTGTGTGGACATCATCTGCTAACAGTCACAGGGCTGTGATGAGTCCACTTGTTTCACTGGAGTCTTGCAGACATCTCACTCCTACAGGCAAGGCTGAGGTTTGGGCAGAAGCTATAAAAGTAGCTCTGGGAAATTAAGCATCTAAGTCGTTCAGTCAGGAACTCACCTGGGCTATCTCTTATCATCATTATGGTATTTCTCACTACAGTTCTCTTTGTATACAAACAGGCGTTATGAACTAGAAGTGTCAATAGAACACTGTCTCCTTCCCAAATAAGCAAATAAAGAATGTCTCTAAGAACACAGTTTGACATGCTTTTGAAATCTAAACTCCATTCTGTGTTGTTTGCAACTCAGCTCTTGAGATTTTATTCTATTGGCTCTAGAACTTCTTTGAAAGCTGGGCTTCTTGACATGTGTTTCTAACACCAGTATTCAATAGGCTGAGGCAGGAGGATGGAGTTCAGGGTCAGCTGAAATACAATGTGAGACCTAGAGTGCCTTGGCCACTTGGTATGTTACACCCTTGCTTTCTGGTCCAAATGGGTTCTGAGAAGTCATATGGAAGAATGAGTGGTGTTATTTCCACACAGAGTTGTCTGTCTGGCTTCTGTCTCTTTCTATATTTTATTTTTTTTTTAAATTTTTTGTCTTCCTAGAAACATTTTGGCTTGGTGTGGCTCTATTTCTGTTGCTTTCTTTTATAGCTACTGAAATCTCTTAATCCATACATTGATGTTTTCAGGACATTCTTGAGGATTGCAACTTTCATTTCTGAGAATCATTTTAGGTTATTTATCAAAACCCCTTACCTTATGCTCCTTTTAGCCATTTATCATCTGGTCCCCACCACACATTCAATTTCATATGTGTTTTGTTTTATTACAAACTAAATCTAGTTTTATATAGTTTTCTTGCCCGTGTTGCAGTATTTTCTGAATACTATCCTGTTTTAATGACTCCCAGGCTCTGTTTATTCTTTAACATTATATAGTTGGTTATTTCAGGCACAAAATTGATTGCTCCAGCAGATGGTCATCTATTGATTTACAGAGCATGCTGTACTCAACAACACAAAAGAGTCTCTAAAATTACAGGAAAAATACCATAATTTATGTCATCTAGTGTAAGTAGCCTTGAATACTGTTTGTCTAAAACAATAGCAACTTATTAGTAATGCAGAATACTGATGTAACATATTTTATTTGCTAATTTTTCCTATAATATAAAATAGCTGATAAGTGTGGTCTTGTGCTGCAAAGTATAGTTAATAAAATAATTTGAGTACGTATTAACTGTTCTATTTCCACAAACCTCATGCACATTTTATCTAATATCCACACATCCTACAAAACATGTACTCTCATGCACATCTCGTGTGTGATGAATGCCTCTGTATGCAAAACCCTGTCTTTTTTAGTCCCCTTCAGTGATTCTGAGGTTATATTTTCCCATTATTACCATTAATTATTGTGAGACTCTCTCTCCAGCGCATTTGAATATGATGTGGTTCATGAATATTCTCTTAGCTGTGGATGTAACAGTCTTATTAAATAAGAAACACAGAACCAAATGCAGAGTTAAAAGCCCAAGATGTCAGAGCAGTAGTTAAGAGCTGATATTAAAAAACCTTTTTTTAAAAGATGTATTTATTTATTACACATACGGTGTTCTGTCTATATGCCAGAAGAGGGCACCAGATCTCATTATAGATGGTTGTGAGCCACCATGTGGTTGATGGGCATTGAACTCAGGACCTCTGGAAGAACAGCCAGTGCTCTTAACCTCTGAGCCACCTCTCCAGGCTTGGGCTCCCTTGTGGGGAGAGCGAGGGTCATCTGGGTAGCTGCACCATGGTTAGCAAGACGTTGCTCTCCACAGATGTGGAGAAGCAGTGGGCAAAGAATGTAGTGACCCATGATGATGTGCATGTTGACTTCACTTGGAAAGAGTGGGCTTTGCTGGATCCTTCCCAGAAGAGTCTCTACAAAGATGTGATGCTGGAGACCTATAGGAACCTCACTGCTATAGGCTACAAATGGGAAGATCATAATATTGAAGAGCATTATCAAAGTTCTAGAAGACGTAGAAGGGCACATTAAAATTCTTCTGTGGAATTCAAAGCCAGCCTGGTCTACAAAGTGAGTTCCAGGACAGCCAGAACAGTTACACAGAGAAACCCTCTCTTGAAAAACAAAATAAAAATCTTCTGTGGGATATTTGTATTAGTTTGCATTAAAAAATTACTTTCCATATCAAAAAAAAAAAACCTTTCTTACCCTTTGCTCCCACTATCATGCTTCCTCTCAGAAAGAGGCCAACTTGGTGTGTATCTGTCTTTTCATTGACTTTCTGTTCTGCCTTCTCATTGGTTGTAAACCCAACCACATGATCTACTCATCACTGCCTGTCTATACAGACCTCCAGGTTTTCTATGGTTGGTATTGAGATTCAAGGCATGTGTCTTCATGCTGGCTGTATCCTTGAACACACAGAGATCTGTCTGTCATGTGATAGGGATTAAAGGCATGCACTACCACTGCTAGTTCTTGTTATGGCTTCCTATTAGCTCTGACCCCCAGGCAACTTTATTTATTAACATACAAATAAAATCACATTTCAGTACAAATAAAATATCACCATACTTAGCATTTAAACTTTTAGATTCACATTTCTCTAGAGTACTTTTGCCATTAATTGTGAACATGTTTACTAATTAGATTGAAATAATTTTCCATGCAGGTCCTTCCTGTCCACAGTATCACATCACCATGATGTTCTGCGAAAATAAACAGTGCCAATCAATCATGAAGTGAGCCCTCAGAAACCATGAATGTGGCCGGGCAGTGGTGGCGCACGCCTTTAATCCCAGCACTCGGGAGGCAGAGCCAGGTGGATCTTTGTGAGTTCGAGGCCAGCCTGGACTACCAAGTGAGTTCCAGGAAAGGCGCAAAGCTACACAGAGAAACCCTGTCTCGAAAAACAAAAAAACAAAAAAAACAAAAAAACAAACAAACAAACAAACAAAAAAACAGAAACCATGAGTGAAGTAAACACTGTTTCTTCATGTTATTTAATATGACCATGCAATTCTTCACTTTTGAAATGGGTTTGGGGTAAATTCGGAAATTTGTTGAGTTGTATACTCCAGAAAATAGACAGTGCTATAAGTAGAGCCTACTGGGTAGTTCTAGTGAGTAGACAGAAATAAGATAACCTGCAGGAATGTGGACAGTGAACACAAGTTGCATGAAAATGGAGAAAAGCATTCTAGTTGAATGGCACAAGAGGCTAATTGGGAAATATTATAATAAACAATTTACCTAGATTTTGCTTTAGTTTGAGACTTTAAGTATGGCTGAACACACACAAAGAGGGGTTCCTAATTGTATACTGAAATTTCTGGTTTTTACAAAGATCATTTTATTTATGTTTGTATATGTGTCCACGTATGGGTATATGAACGTGAATTCAGGTACCTTCAAAGGCCAGTAAAAGAAGTTAGATTCCCCGGAACTATCTTTACAGGGGCCTGTGTGCCAACGTGGATGCTGGGAACCAAACTGCAATTATTTGAAAGATCATTATGTACCCTTAATCACTGAACTTTCTTCCTAAGACAGGTGGTGCAATGGTACAGAATTTCCTAATGCTGTTCTTCCTTCTCAGCTTTAAACATAATTTCATTATATAATGCTTTTTTTTTATAGGGCATCAAAGTCTTTAATCACGATTTTGGTAGTCTGTGTTTTTCTGAATCAATAAAGTAACAGCCAATACCTTACATACATATTCAGCATTTTTCATAATGAGGGGTACAATACAACATAGTTCAGTGTTTGTCAAAATAAGCCCTTCTTAATGATTCTGTGGGCCATGTTCTTTGCGGTGTCTTCAGCCCCTCTGGCTCCTACAATTCTTCCTCTCCCTCTTTCACCTAATGTTTGACTGTGGGTCTGCATCTGCTCCCATCAGTTGCTGGAGGAAGGCTCTCTGATGACTACTGGTTAGGCATGATATATGAGTACAGCAAAATATTAGGAATCAATTCATTGACTTTTTTTCCCTTTTTGCCAGGTGTGTTTGGCACTAGCCTCTCACCTGTAAAATTTTCAGTTTAGTCCCAACTTCCTTAACCATTCCCAACCTGTCACCTGGTTAGAGCCATGTCTGGCATGGAGGCTCACCAAAGGGACTTGGGTTTTCTCTATCAAAATTACAACCCTAAGAGCTGATTCTGGGTAGTGCTGGGAATTCAGGTAAATCTTCTCTGTGCTCAAAAGTGCATCTAGTGGCTATCTGAACAAACTAGCGCACACCAAAGAGACCAATACCTATCTAAAATCATATTTTTAAATTTTTAAATATACACACACATTGTGGCAATTTCTTTGGGATCTGGGCTTATTGAACACACAAAATAAAGTAGAACATGCCAAATACCAGTGTAGTACTCATGAAAATAATGATTGTTGTCTTTTGAAAACTGTAATTCTTTCCATGTATTATGGTATTTCAATGTTTTAAATATTACACATTTCAATGAATAAAACACTCCCTGCATTCCTACAGTTTTATTTTCCAATATGTTCTAGTTGTGTAATGTTGCATTGCTTGTAGCATTTACCTGGAAGTCTCCTTTATGAACCTATATATACATCCCCACATACATGTAAGAGTCTCTTCTTGCCATGTCTTCTTTCAGTACACAAAGACAGACAGGCAGACAGGCAGACAGGCAGGCATGCACGCACACATGCACGCGTGCGCGCGCACACACACACAAACACAAACACACACACATACACTATAAGGGTTTGCAAATAATATTATTAGAAAAATACTTGTTGAAATATAGGAGACCTGAGTTTGATCCTCAATTATCTGACACACAAACAGAAACGCTCTCGTCCACTAGGGATCCATACATGGTTTGTGGCTTACTTTACAGATGTATTTACTTCCAAATAAATGGTAGTGTGTTGTATGGGTCATCAATCATGCCTTTGCATGACTTAAGGTATTTTAATATTTCTTCTTTCTCTTGAAAACGTGTATACTGAAGTATTAAGTTTAATGAGATTGTGAATATTTTTCAACATTTATGTTGGAAAATTAATGTTGAAAGTAAAAGATTACACTGACAGAAGCTGAATTATGAACTTTGTCAAAGTTCTATTACTTAATATAATCAAGATGTGTAGGAATATATACTGTGCAAATACAATCAAATCACAGTAGCTTAAGGGAACACAATTTGACATAAAGTTTTTGTATTCTATCCAGTGGAAAACTGTACCTAGATTACATTTAAACTTGGTATTCCTCCTTTATATTAGAGTATTCATCCAACAAAGTATTTTCATAATGTTTTTATCTCAGGTTTTATTTGAAAATGAAAAATACTGGACCAAAGCATGACCACACACTAGCTGGGCAAATTTCAAACTCTGCATCTCCATGTCTGATGTCAAAATGCTCTTCAGATCTCCAACTCCTTTCAGCTTTGTTGGATACAACACACTTCTTTCTCTTTGACTGGTTCCACTCCGTGTTAGCAGCTGTTCTCATAAGGCATCCCACAGCTCTGGCATCTCCAACATCTTGAGGTTCTCCAAGGCAATCCAGGCTTCGATGTCACAGCTTCATACAGTGGCCTCTCTAGGCCTCCATTCAGGGACACTCCTCGGCAGCTTTCCTTAGATGCAGAGGCAAAATCCACAGCCCTTTCCTTCTGTCCTTAACTCCAGAACCACAGGACCAAAGCTGCCAAATTTTGCTTCTTGCTGGGGCTGAAACATGGTCCCCTCATTTAATTTCATCTTCATCAGCTCTCTGTTTCCCTTCACTTCCTAAGCTTGGCTGTCTTTGAACTTGTTCTGGACATCAGGCTGGCCTCAAGCTCAGAGATCTGCCAGCCTCTGTCTTCTGAGTGATGGAATTAAAGGTGTATACCACCACACCCAGCTCTAAGCTTTTTTCATAAGTTGGAAACTTAGCTAGCTAGGTGGCATCTTGCCCTGAGGCCACCATTCCCTCTATTCCATTTCTTAATCTATTTATCTCCTTGAACAAAAGACTTTGCTCTGTTCCATTTTTGGTGCTTCTTTTATCCTTAAATTTTACATTTTGTAATTTATTCTGCTCAGCTTGCTCCTTTTCATTATATATCTTTATAAGAATTATCACTAATAACCACAATACAGAGCTATTATACTAGGCTATTTTGAGATTTCCTCTGCCAATGAAATTAATCCTAAGCTCTTCACTTTAACCTCTGGCAGACTCTTCTGACAAAAGCCAAAGGGAGCCACACTATTCACCAAAATATCACAAGAATGATCTCTAGGCCACATATTAATATTCTCCTCTGAAACCTCTTGAGCTAGCCCCCCACAGTTCATCAAATCACACTCAGCATCACTGTTTTCCATGCTCCTACTAGTATGGTCCATTAAGCAACACTTAAAGAGTTCAGCTATTCTTCTGTTGACAGTCTAAAGGTACATATTCCTTCAAACAAAAACATGGCCAGGCTTATCATAGCAACATCCAAGTCCCTGGTACCAACTTCTGTCTTAGGTAGGATTTCTACTGCTGTGAAGAAACACCATGACCACTTACTGTTGCCTGTGAGTCAAGATGTAAGAACTCTCAGCTCCTTCTTTAGCACCATGTCTGCCTGCATGCTGCCTGGCTTCTGACTGTGATGATAATGGACTAAACCTCTGAAACTGTACGCTGCCAACATATTGTTTACACAAGAAAGGTTTTCTTTGGCTCATAGTTTGAGGGCTCATGGCATCATTGTAGGGCAGTTCTGTCACAAGCTAGTCAAGTGGCTTACCTAGTTACAAAGCAGAAGACAATAAATTCTCATACTCATTGAGCTTCCTCCTTCTAATACATTCCAGGAACCATGTTTAATGAACAGTACAGCCTAAGTCTGGTATGAGTCTTCCCACCTCAATTAATTAATTTCTCAGAAGCATTTTATACCTAGAATCCTGTGTCATAGATCATTCCAGATAAAATTCCATTGATAATCAAAATTAACCATCACACAAGATGAAATTAGAAGTTAAATAAAAATTTTAAGAAT